TATTATAATATGTACTTTAGTCACAATTTCTTTCATAGTGGCTTTGGACTTTTTTAGTGCATTTTAGTTCTCTGTTATGTTTCTCTCAGGATGACAAGCTGAATAAACAAGCAGGTATGGAAACAGACTAGCGCTATAATATAGACGCTATATGCATGTGTGCAATAATTTGCCAGAACTTGACAACTTACATACTCTTGGTCCTAAAAAAAGGATTACCATACTATATATGTTAGATTTCTATTCTCACATAGACTGGCACAGCTATCGGGTTTTTAAGTCCTAAGAAATTACAAAGTAAAAATATTCATAAATACATGAGAAGCAAAAAATTTGCTAAGGAGGCACTGAACAATAGAAGAGGTAAGGTTTTCTAAAGGAAGACAAGGGGATTGGAGAGAACCTAACGTTTTTGCATTCATGTTCACTGTAGAAGATGTAGTATGGTTATCAATGCCCAAACTGACATTTTTCAAAGAAGAAATAAGAAAAATATATAATGAGATAAATGTTTAGATCTAATAATTGAAAAAATAAGTTTTAATATATAAATCCATATATTGTTCAAATGTAAGTGTTCACAGAGATAACTTACCTGTCTGAACTAGTAGTCATATATGTGCTAAAAGAGTCATAATTAATTATGAAAGGAGGAGGACACAACTTCACCCAAAATACTATTAGTAGGGAAAAAGAAGAAAACATCTTGGTTAAAATATTGTTCACAAGCCTAGTTACAGAAGTGTGTTTTAGCCACCAGTGAGGTCAGGCCTTTAATCTCAATAGAGAGCATATTCTAAAACTCAGTGGTAATTGTAAAATACCTGAGATGCTACCAGCTGTCTCAGCAACAGCTGCAGACAGACTTCCCAAATGACCTTATGAAGCAAATGGGAGTCTTGTAGAAAAAGAGGCTCTTGTTTATTAAATAGACATGTCTATTTATTTCCTATACTTTTATGTCACCCAAACTACCGATTGTTTGTGTGTTTGCATGTGTGTATTCAATATGGAAATATTAATAATATTATATAGAATATGTCTTTTAGGCCGCAGAAGAAGATCTTTCACTCAGCTTTGAAAAAAAACCCTGTAGTTTGGTCCCCTCTGTTTTAAAAAATCTGTTTATTTTACAGTGGCTGTGAGTTTGTTTATTTATAAAATACGTTTATTTTATTTTGTAATTCATACATTTATAAATTTCTTTTATGAATCAACAAGACTTTTGATTATACATTTTGTCTTGTATAATATGCAGACTGACTTCCCAAATGACTTTATGAAGCAAATTGTTTTATGTTTTTGTATTGTAACATACCTATAGACATTTTTTATGGATTATTATAAAAATCTGTTAAATACATATATGATTCTACAATGTCTACACAATATTCTTTGTGCTTTGAACATGAGTAATGAAACATACACATCAGAAACAGGCTTTATATTCTTTGAGTGTCTTATCAGTTTTGTAGCAGCTGCATATACTGATATTCTGTGTTGAAGAAAAGACGCAGCACTGGATTATTATAGGTGGTAAAATCTATGCAGATGAACATATATAAAATAATCTATGGCTGAAACCAGAGATGCCATATTTTCTTGTAATTTTTTTATATATAAAACTCTGAAAATAAATTGTGTGGGAAGTTCTCACAAAGTCTATCCAAACTGATGCCCTTCAGATATGTTGAGATGCTTCAGTCTCTCAGTGTAGTCCTTCATCTTCATATATGTACCTAAGATTTTTTTGTTTTGAAAGTAGTGTTACTTATGTAGCATGGGTTTTTCTATTTAGTCAAAGAAAAGAGGTCTGAACGTTGAAGAGAAGAGAACTCGGATGATGGAAATCTTTTTTGAAACGGTAAGTAATATTTTGTTGTTGCTTTCTGTTATTTTGGATGGTTTTACTTTAAGAAACAGGAACTCTGGTTTTATTTTAAGAAACATGCAGTTGCCAAGAGGACTGGTCAGAGGTCCTTGCTATATATACTAATGGCTGTAGACACTTCCATGATGCCTGAGAAGATTTTATCATGTAAACTCAGTTTATGTGGAGAGCTGGCCATGTCAAAAGCAGCATGCAAGTCTTTGACTTGAATGTTGCCTATGGTGTGATGAACACTTCTTGAATTCCACTTCTAATCTGACAACTGACCTTTGATAAATTGCCTTTTAATGTAAGACATTCTAAATTATTGTGAGAAGTCTGTACACTGTTTTAGATGGTTTTATCTTGATTTGAGGGAAGCTGTTTGTCCAAGCCATGTTTAGATCAAATAATTCCTAATTAAGTATAGATTAAAAAAACCTTTGCTATATCAGGAAGCTATGGTTATTAAAGACTTCCTAAATTGTTAGTTGCATCGTGAAGGGTGGAGCAAAGAGCTGCATGCATGAATAAACAGCTTTTTAATTTGGAATATTACCATATTTTTATGTTTAGAACTCTGAATTATATAATATTTGAGTGCTATAAAGTAAATGTCTTGTGGTTAATAGGTTTGGATGTTTTATTTGTAATTGCATGTGGAGAGTATTTTAATTTTCCATATTGAATATACACATGCAAGCACACAAACAATCTACAGTTTGGGTGACATAAAAGTGTAGGAAATAAATAAATAAACATGTCTATTTAGTGAACAATTTATTTTGAATTGCATGTGGAGGGTATGTGTTCTGTGTATTGTTAATTTGACTGACAAGGAGTGTGCTGAGAGCTACATTATGTGCGGTGCAGAAGTCCAGATTATCGCTAGATGGCAGTGATAATAAAATTAATTCTTTATAACCAACTAATGGTATTCTAGATTTTTGCAGCTCCAGATACATATCAGAGTCCTAGTGTGATGGAAAAACACTAAATAATCATATTTTGGTATTCTTACAGTTTAGTGTGTATAAAACTGGCTCTGGAGTACAAAACAAAAGAATTACATTTAGTGCTTTCCAAATTTAAAAATTAGGCAACACTAAATTAATTTTTTTACTTTCACAAATGTTTGGTGATTATTGTCCATATCGGGTGG